CTTTTGCGTAAAACTAAAATTCATGCCAATATTTTTCCATGATTTATAATAATTGGAGTAATGCAAATGCATATTTTCTAAAAAAAGTCATTTTTAGTGAAATTTTGCCGGGAATGGGGCTTTAAAGTTTAATAGGTGTAGTGTTGGGAGGGGGAATTTTATGAAGATGGTCGTGGGTAATCTTGATTGATTACGCACGACCATTTTCAATTTGTTGTAGAATTTTTGAAACGGCCACAGGTTGGGGAGAGTAGCCATGCTTGTTGAAATAAACAACACATTTTCACACATTTAAAGTACCGGTAGGCGTACATTTTGCGACAGAACATTGTAGTGTGATAGCCGAGCACATGGAAATAGGTTACACTAGGAAAACATGTGAACACTTTTCAAATCTGGAATGAGAAAGAACAAATTTAAAATATCACTGTTTGCAACACGTTGTTTATCTGATATCCAAGAACCAGTAGGCGTACATTTTGCGACAGAACATTGTAGTGTGATAGCCGCGCACATGGAAATAGGCTACTTTGTTTATCTGATCCAAGAACCGGTAGGCGTGAATTTTGCGACAGAACATTGTAGTATGATAGCCGAGCACATGGAAATAGGCTACACTAGGAAAACATAAACTCTTTTCAAATCCGGAATTAGAGAAAAAACACGTTGTTTATCTGATCCAAGAACGTAAGCAGCTTTAATAAGTGGACAATGTGATGTGGTATTATGAACCACAAACTGTGTCAATGGAATGCTCACGTCATCAAAATGACTTTACAACAGTTTTTATTCATTGTATTTTGGCCTGATAATAAAATGAAAGCTTCAGCAATAAACAATGTCCCCACACCGCGCATTGCAGCTCTGAGACGCGTCTCAAAAGAAATAGGCGAGCAGATTATGGCCAAAAAGTCCTCTAAAAATCATCGAGGATGGCAATGGAAGTACTACCGGCTAATTTTGATATTTTCTCAAAATGTAGGTCTTGAGAAATTCAGAACTTAAAATTACCCAAAATCCCTTTGTGGGAACACCTCCAAATTATGCATTCAAAATGGCCACCATTTTTCCATTTTAAATTATATTTTTAGTTAAATTATATTAAAAAAAAAAACATTACTCGAATAATAATTATCAACCATTGGTGAAACTTACTCAAAATATTTGTTAATCATTGAAAATTAATCTTGCGTTAAGAAAAACTATAATTTCAATCACCATAGCAACCGTTGCTATGCAAATTAAAATTTCCTATTTTATTTATGAAATTTAATAATACGGGATGCCTAAAGTTTATTAAAATCTTAATTTTCATAGGTTTTATGAATACTGTATTTTTAACATCTGAATTACCTATTATTATATCATAGAATAGGATTATGTAAACAAAACTCCAGAAGAGATAATTCTGTTGACTTTGCATAGTTCTATGAAAATAAAAATTATATTCCTTTAGCATAAATTTCTATATTATATATTATTCTATATTTTATTAATGAAATTTATAAAACCCCAATTAAAGTCATTATAGAGCTACTTAAAATATTTAAAAAGACAATAAAATGTCAATAGCAACAGTCTTCAAGTTCAACTTTATTGTCAACAACAATATTTATAATAATAACATAATTGACAAAAGGTGATAAGGTATTGTTAAATTAAACTAATTTAAGCTTAACACCTCCTTGATGAAAAACAATACAAACCAAATATTCTAGATTTACATTAAGTTGAATAAATTAATTTGGACGAACAATAACCGAAGCAGGAGATAAACCACAGAGGCGGATCCAGGATTTGAAAGATGGGGGTGCATTTTCCCATAAACTCAAAAATAAAAGGGGGTCCGGGAAAATTTTGATTCCTAAATGGCCGGAAATAAGCTTTCCCGACTTCTGAGGTGTCTTTTAATGACCTTTAATTTCTTAAAAATTCAAGGTTTTACCCCTCTTAAAAAAAATGGTCAGGCGATTTTATCTCATTCTTTGGCCGATATCATAGAAAATAAATCAAAAATATAGTCAATATATTATAAGGCCTATATCATACCAAAGTCTTATCTCATCTGGAGATAGAAGTATCATCATTAGATCACGAACCACATCTTTACCTAGGAAAATGAATTTTGGCATCTTCACAGGAAGAGTTTTTCCTTACGGTCAACCAAAAACAAATATATATATATAATGCAAAAATGCCTCCAGAAATGTCATACATCAAATACATGTACAAATCAACTGGTTTATACATCCTGCAAGAAACCTGGTCACCGAAGAGCAGAATGCGATGAAGCGTTTGTAGAGGCAGAGCCTTCGGATAATACAAAGCAGGACTTTCGTCCGAGGACGAGACGTCAATAGATAGTACGACACAGAAGGAAGAAGGTGAAAAAGAGGAAAATGAAGAGGAGACAACATCCAACTCACAACAACAGAAGATTATGTTTTTTTACTCGCAACGCGAGCACAGTCAAGAGCAACAAAAGTCATCAATTAATAGACCCTCCGCAGAAAGCAAACAAAGTGCTAAAGCAACAATTAACGTCGAGAATAAAGCAACGACACAAGGCCCAAGTACAAGATCAAGAGAGAAGAAAAAAAAAACAAAGAGTAAACGTTAAGGAGTAAACCAGCAACTGTTTCAACATGCTAAGATACAATGATAAATAATACCTTACAAATAATAGCTGTCAACTGTCGTGGTCTACGAAACAGGAAAAAAAAAATAGCCAAGTAAAAATGGATTAGGGACCAAAATGCGTCGGTAAGTTTCTTGCAAAAAACTCATTTCTGTAAAAAAAAAAAATCACTGATATTCATGACACTTTTAATTGGAAAGGCAAGTCCATCCACTCGTATGGATCTACAAACAGTAGAGGAGTAAGCATACAATTTAATGATAATTCAGATGTTAATATAATCGATAGTCATGCCGATGAATACGGTAGGCTTCTTATTGTCAATACAAAAATATATATCAAAGGTATGCATTCAATAACGTTTATGCTCCTAACGATGTGAAAGAAAGAATTGCCTTTTTCAAAAAAATTGAAAAGTGGATAGGAAAATACGTAACTGATGACAGTGAAATTATAACAGGAGGTGATTTCAACTGCTTTATAAACTTAGAAGAAGATAAAGAGGGCGGTATAAGAAAAAGTAAGCATGATACTATAGCTATAGACGCTATGATAAAACGTAACTCTCTAGTTGATATTTGGCGGTATAAAAACCCTATTAAAAAAACATTTCACCTGTAGAAATACGACTCCCCTAATTAGAACGAGAATTGATTTTTTCTTGTTATCAAAAAATATGGTCAGAGTGACATAAGAGCGAGTATTCCAACAAACCACTTAGCAGTATCTCTAAAACTTAATCTAGCACATCATAATCCGGGACAAGAATGTTGGAAATTAAATGTATCTCTGCTTATAAATAGATTATACACAAAAATTTAAAGAAATTCTCAACAATTTAAGAAGAAATGATTATAACGATCCTCAATTTTTATGGAAAATCTATAAAACGAAAATTCGAGACTATTCTATATATTATTCCAAATTAAAAGCAAAAACCAAAACAAATATAAAAAGGGAAATTACAAAAAAAATTAGAAAATTTATATTAAAAAATTCACTTGATGGAAATGACCTTGATGAAAGTGTTCATCTAAAAACGAAGTTAGATGAATTATATATTGAAGATATAAAAGGACAACAAATAAGATCTAGACTAAAATGGTTAGAGGAAGGGGAACGAAATACGAAGTATTTTTTAGGTCTCGAAAAACGAAATAATATTAGCAAAACAATTACATGTTTGCTAATTGAAAACGGAAATGAAATTAATGATCAAAGCAAAATTCTAAACAAAGAAGCAATTTTTTCGAAAATCTATACAAATCAACTAAACAAGAGGTGATAGAAATAGAAAACTACCTCGCTGAGGATGATTTATAGTATTGTCTAAGTGAAGACGAAAAGGATTTATGGGAAGGTCTATTTACAGGGGAAGAATGCAAAACATCATTAAAATGTTTAAAAGAAAATAAAACCCCAGGATGCGACAGATTGCCATACGAGTACTATGAATCTTTCTTTGAAGAAATAAAATACCCCCTAGTAAGCGCTCTTAATGAAGCTTTTATAGTGGGTCAAATAAGTGTCACGCAAAGAAGGGCTGTGAATAAATTATTACACAAAAAAGGTAATCCAAAAAATAGAAAATTGGAGAGCTATCAGCCTATTAAACGTAGACTACAAAATAGCAGCTCACGTCTAAAATGAAACCATTGCTAAATAAGTTGATAAATGATGATCAATCAGCCTACATAAAAGGCAGATTCATTGGTTCGATTATACGCATAATTGACAATATAATCCATTTTTGTTGTAAAAATAGTATTTCGGGAGGAATTTTATTTGTGGAATTGCAAAGGCTTTTGACACTGTTGAATGGATGTTTGTTTTAAAAGTGCTTGAAAAAATGAATTTTGGCAAACAATTTATAAACATGATGAACACGTTATATAATGGCGTTCAAAGCTGTGTAGTCAATAACGGTTGGACTTCCAGATTCTTTTTTTTTTTCAGAAAGAGGGCTTAGGCAAGGATGCACTTCTCCGCACTTCTTTTTATTATCAT